TCTTCGGAAATTGAAACGAGATGGCAGGCCAGATTTGTAAAGCAAAAATTTTTCATTACTTCCTAATGACTCAAATAGACAAGATTGGTATTGAATGATACAGGACATTAATGACGTTTGTGTGTCTTTGAATTTGTTGAATGAATTCATCTCTGCGATGGGGACATCACCTCAAAGATCCATGTGGTCTCTTTCCGCACCTCTTTATTCCAATTGAGACATTTTGCAGAGATACAAGAAGACGACGGATTACAAATCTATATTACATGCTTCATAACGGCTTAAATACTCGAGTATCCAGGTTGTTGAGTAGTTAGATTTCAACGCGACATTTTGTGGGTGCTTAACGCCCTCACCACTTCAGATAGTGGAATGAATATCACATAATACAAATCCGATATTGAATAATACTTATTTATTTATTTCTTTGCGTCAAAAACAGTTAAAAACTGAGTGCGACGTGCTATGGGGAAAATAATAAGAAGTCATCTCATCATTTGCTCGATGATCAGGGAAACTGGACAAAGACCTGATCGAGATGGACATTGGTCATTGACCCAGAAGCTGAAGAACAATATTTGTTACAGATTCTTTACAATTATACAATCCAAATGACATATAATACAGTAAATGACGTTGTTAAAATTAATATTACTTTCCTTTCTGATGCTCGGTAAGTCTCTAATTGTATAGAAACAGTTGTGCAGCACAAAAGATTTTACTTAGGACTTAAACTTTTATCCGTACAATTAGCTTATTATTCGTACAATTCTTTTTTGTAATATAAAAGTCTTGGAGCTATAAGATGGATTTCGCCAGAATATTATGCCATATCTCAGGTGGGAATGAACATTTGCGAAATATACACGACGAGCAGTGTGTAGGCTGACTGAATTTGAAAGAATTCTGAAAGCATAGCATAAAGATCTTAATTTAGTGTTCAATTTATTTAAATGGACGTTTCATTTAAGGTTTGACTGAATTGAAAGATCTAACATTTTGTGACCTTAACATCAGTCAATGGCACGCCGTTCATTTTCAGTGAAGTGCAGAGTTGTTTATTAGAAATGGAAAACTGCATTGAAACAATTTTATTTTCATTTACTATTAATTTGTTATTGCAGAACCAATTTGAAATATATGTTATTGTACTATTTACGGCTTCTTTATTGCAAAGTATATTCGTATCATCCGCAAAGATAACTGTTCTTCCGTTTCTAATCGTCGAGTGCAGATCGTTTACATATAGTAGGAAAAGAATAGGGCGTAAAATCGATCTGTTCGGGACTCCACATGCAATTGGCAAAGAATCAGAAGTGTGTGTACATAATGTTTCATTATTCCAGTAAGGTATTTCTACTCTCAGAGATCGTTGTTTAAGGTAGGAACATAACCAATCTAGAGCAACATCACGAATTCCATACGAAGGTAATTTTGAGAGTAAAAGGTTATGATCAATGACGTCAAAGGCTTTTGAAAGATCTAAAAATATTCCAATATGTGCCTCATTTTGATCCAATAGATGAGACATCTTTAAGAAAAGAAAAATGGCTGTTACCGTAGATTTTGATTTTCGAAACCCATGTTGGCAATCTGAAATCGCGACGTGTTTACTACGAAATGTTCCCATTCGTACGTAAAAAAGTCTCTCTAATATTTTTGAGAGAATGAGAAATTGGTCGATAATTATGAATTTCGTTTTTGTTACCTTCATACACATAACAACGTAAAAATAACAATACACACAAATAACAGTAAACAAATATGTAAACACACCGTGCGCGATCCTTCCTTTCTCTTTCCTGTCGTATTTCCACCTCTTACTTACACCCACATACACTCACATGCAGCTCTACCCCACTGTCGGGAGACCAGTCGGGAGCTTACAGAATGTCCCACCTTAGGCGGTTAACTGCCACGGGGAAATACATGGTGGGGAAATCCTCGCAAGTCGACTAGGTCGGCGCCAGACCTCGTTATCCAGCGGGAGAAGACAAGCGCTATAAGGACATGTACTACACTTGTGGGACTAATGACCTAGGCAGTTCACGCGCCTGGAATCACTAATCAATCAATCAAGCAACGATGTGAACCATTTTGTACAGGGCAAATTTATGACATTCTCGTGAGCCCTAACGATATATCATTAGTTCTTCATCCAACATTTCGTTTTGGTCTATATGTTGCATATTGCTCTGATGACTACGAATGTAACCAGCTAGTACAGTGTTGTCATGTGGCATTTGTCTACATGACCACTGTTTAGGTTCTCTTTGGGGAGTAGGTAGGTAATTCTCTCTGTTAAAAATGTAGTTGTGTGCTCCAGATTTTTCAATTACCCGCTGGAATACTGGCAAGACGTTTGTGATTTTGTATAAATGTCATTATTGAAAGATTTAGTAAGGCTTTTGAGCTCTGACTCGTTTGAGTTCAAATTTCTCTTCAGAACAGTTTTCACTCCTTCGTTCCAGTTTTCAATGGATTTAGATTTGGAAATACGTCGCATCTCATCTCTCGCCAATTTGTAGCTATTTGGAACAGGCCCTACCCATTTATATTGCAAAAGCTGAAAGTGTCTTCAATTTTGGGCGTGATACGTCCATTATACAGTAGACGCTGTGATTTCTAGCTATTTGAAAGCCTTGTGGTTGGGTCTAAAAAGGTGGTTGTTGTCGTCTCAGCGACGTCTCTTTATCCGCTTAACCTCTTCCATAGTGTTCCAAATCTTTGTTTTGGACAATCAGTACCATGTTCAATTCATCTTTTTTAAGTTTTGGTTTCATTAAGATGATAATATTAATTAATAATAAGAATAATACATATTATTAGTGATGGGGTCGAGTCTGTGTTGAGTTAGAGAGCATGCGCATGTGTAACATCCCCCTCTCCATGAAGCTGGAAACGACGATCCATGACACAGAGGAACCCCGGAGAGAAGATACCTGCACAGCAAATTCAGAAAAAACCAGCGAAGAACAAAAAGGCACGACGAGCAAAAAGGCAGACGGCGGCAAGACGGTGACGACCACTAAGAATACTCCGTTGCGAGACATCGACGGGGAGTCGAGACAGGGCTGGCGCCTTCCGAAGGTGGAGGACGAGCGAGGATGGCGAAGAGGCGGTGTTAATGCCGGCAAAGACTCGCTCGCCATTAACGAGGATAGAGTGTATACTGAACTGGGTGCAGCGTCTAATGGGTCTCTTCTCTTGGAAAGTAAACACACTCGACGCTCGCTTTGCCCTCGACGAGGTGCAACCCCCGTACGCACGCGAGCCTTTCAACAACAAATGCTATTTTTCTTTTCACTCAGCCCCAGGGGCGTCTCGCCGCCTGAGAGCTTGCGTTTCTTTGTGAGTTTTGCATCAATTGATTTGTTGTTGTCAAAGCGGTTTTCGCGAACCAACTACCGAAGGGAGCGTAGAATGTTTACTTGTCGGTTGTGTCAGAGCAAATCTTGACCGAATCTACTGTACATTTCTGGGATGTTATTTTTATGAAGACATTTATCTATTTTATAAATTTAACAAATTTTGCATTTGAATAAAATTGGGAAATAAAGTACATGAAGGAATTTTGATAGTGTTTTATAATGATTGTCCAAAAATTGAAAAGGCGGCCGAAAAAAATAACAATAGAGTACTGAAATGAAATGTATTAGTTTTAAACTTAGAGTTTTATAAGTATCCATATCATAATTTAAATAGTAAAAATGTGCATATTCTCCTTCCAAAGAGTTTTCCATAATTAATAATCCTCAAAAACAATACATTTTACAAATAGTTTTTTTGTTTCTTTAGCATACTTTGTTTTAAAAAATGCCTCAAAAATTGATATTTAATGACTATGGAGTTTCAAAAATAATCCATTCAATGCAGTGCAACATAGGGTCGATTGGCCGCCACCAAACCATAACCAGAACCGAAGTTCAAGCGCTGCCGCGGGCGATCGAGAAACTAGCGGCAGGAGGCGCTCCGCGGGCGAATGTGCCTTACGAGCCGCCGGAGGGCAGGTTCCGTTCAAGGAAGGGCAGGGCAGGGCGCGCGCAACGTAACTAGCTCACTGGCGCTCGCGGGCACTGAGCCAGTGGGATTGGAGCGAGATTTAAAAGAGATGTGCAAATGCCTCCGGAGTGGCAGTACGTCACGGGATACCTATACCTGGCCCAAGACAATCTTTCGGAGAGGGGACTTGACAGCTATTCTCACAAATTTAGCGATATTAACTCCCAGAGTTCTTTAAAGCAAATAAATTATGCATTGAAAAATAATACGTCAGTCCGATATTCAATTCTCTGTTAGAAGTGCTGTCCGTCCGTATGCAACAATTGCACATTATTGCTAAATACAGTAAATAACGGAATGATTTAATAACACAACATAAATACGAAAACAAGGAAATAATTCGACATTCAAACTTATTTCTGTCACTTGCCAACGATGTTTATACAAGGGAAAGTTTAGAAAAAAAATAAACATGAAGTAGTAATAAGTAGCGAAGATTATAAACATAATACTATTCTCGGTTATACGATAGAAAAAAATTACCAAACATATTTTCGTATGAAGCCACTATTCGTTGCTTCGCGCCGCTTCAGGTTGCCTAGGCTGTAAAAAGGCAGTGGAATTAACGAATTAATTGAAGGCAAAGAATGTACGCTGAAAACTATGAGGTGCGAAGACGTACACCCCATGATGCTGATAAACGTTTGTCGCATTTTGTACAAGGCTGCGCGTTGGTGACAACCGCCGGCATCCCTTGCAAGGTGAGAGCTGGGCGGAGGCGTGGTCATCTTCAAGGGGCCCGCAGGCGCCTGAAGTACGAGAGCGATGTTGACTTTTCACTTGCGGCCGGCGCCCCCCCCCCCCCCCCGCCGCCGCCGCCCGCCGGGCCACCCCAGCCAGCGCGGAACAGACGCCGGTCTCAAGCGCGGAGTGGGCGCGACCAAGAACGGACGCAGGCGTGAGACCGGCCCCGCGTTCCGACGAGTGGCGATCAGTTGTTATTTAGCGCAAGGAACTGGCTTCATGGGGATACGAGTTTTATGGGCACAAACAGGTTTAGTACCATTCTCAAGGTAGCCAGCAATGACACGACTCGCAGCCGTTGGTATCTGCAATGAATGGAATCCAAAGAAAAAAGTAGTGACGCAACAATAACACATGTTTTCTAGTTTCTTCCTCGCCGTTTTTATAAAGATACTTAATGTTACAATTACTACTAGTATCCGTGCAAAAACATGTCTGCCACTTTAGTGGAAAACTGTATTAAAAGTGATAATAGCTTCATTCTGTCACTGTACATCGATCGTTCTGACAACACTATGAGTAAAGGTACCAAATTCAAAAACGTTTGCTAAAACTTCCAAACAGACTGACTAGATACGACATTGAAAACGTAGTGGTCCGTAAGGACACGAAAACTGGGTAATATGTGCCTAGAGTACGTACCGTCTACACAATACCAAAATCGGTTGGAACATAAAACAACACAATTTGCATGGCATCTGCTTCACCTATAACAAAATCTGCGAACTGCTATTTTTGCGTCATTTATCACATTGATGCGGGTGTGGAAGGACGGCTTCCCCCATGTTATTTCAGAGGTCAATTAGTGGGCCACTCAGAGGCGTTTTGTGATGATTGTGTCTTGTAAATGTGCCACTTTGTTATTTTCCTTGGCGTTACCAGTTTCCATTGCTACCAAGACTGGAGCCATCCCTAGAAAAAAAACCCTTCAACGAAACAAAATGCAATACCTTAATATAAATACGTATCTCTATCTTTGAAAAATTCAAAAGTTGCAAACTGCATTTAAACCAGAAATTCAGTTATAGTGGCACGCGGTATAGTGGGCGCGCTCTGCCCATTCACCCGTCATCTAGACCAAAAAGGCAGCTGCCAACATTATTGGGATGGCGCGTTTGCACGAGCATTGGCTGCGTCGGACAAGTAGTGAAAAGAACCTGCGCCGATCTGGCAGTATTTACGTCACAGGTGTTCACATTGATTTATAATAATTAGACATGTTTCATATCCAGCGTATTTCATTATTTTCCAAAATGCATTACAATTTTTACGAGCAAGTTAGCGCATGCTTAACGCAAAACCTCACCGGACGATCAACCGCAGCTCCCTGGCCCTTTGTAGTTGCGTACCACAATTCCAATAGGAGATAACCTATTACGCCACTATTCCAATAGGGAGTAACGCACCGCTTACCTTTCGCCGCACAGAAATGAACTCAACATCTTCAACTTCAGTCCTCAGCATTAACCCTCCATCGTCGCGCGGCGGGCGCTCAGCCCCTGACGCTGCGAAAGCGGCGTCGCGCCTCTGCCGAACAGACAGATCTGCATACACACATTTATGCATTTTTAAACTTTTATCCCGGGCCATTTCACGAACGCTTAGGTCTCTCGCACAAGCGCGTTCTTTCAAGTCCGCCACTTCGCCCCCCCACCCCCTTCCACCCCCCGCGGACCTTCCGCGCGAGAGCGGGCGCCGATGAATTGCCTGCAGCGTGTATGGCATTAGATGTGAATAAGCGCGGCGCGTCAAAAATAAAGAAAACAAATACCCGACGCTTTTTACGCGGGCGCGCGTGGCCTCGGCAAATAGGACGAGTTGTTTGCAGCATCGGCCCAAGAGAACTGCGGCGAGTGATTGCTAATAGGCAAATTTCGTCGGGCCGAGTCCGGCCTTCGGACGGGTTGGGTGAAGGGCGGGTCACGGGTTGCGACGCCGCACCAGAGGAACCCGAGTGGGGTGGGAGGACATTGAGGACGGGGGGAGAAGCATCGCTTGAGGTCCCCGCAGTACGTACCTTGCCACTTGTCCTAGTCGATGTCCTTGTCATATGGAGCTTGTCGCATGTCGGACAGAGAGGCAACACAGGGAGGAGCACCTAGGACATTGGATTTAGAAAGTGCTCTCTGTATAAGCACAAACAGATGTATGCAAGACGGTCAAAAACCGGGTGAGATGGCACAGTGCATCAACTGATGTCACTGCAGTCTTGACCGAGAGGGCCTAGGTTCAAGCCCCAACAATGAGACGACTTTGGACACTAGCTTGTCAGCTAGGTCGAATTCTGTCACTGTCTGCAGGAGAAATCTAGAGGCCGGTTATTCTGTTCGGTAGTTTTCCGTGGTTTTTCCGAACAATACCACGCGAATGTCGGAGAAATACCCTACCAAACATGCCACTGCGCGCAATCTTCCCTACCTCTCCAAATAAAATCCTCACCTCTTACACTCATACTAACATGCCTTACATGAGCACACATGCCGGGAGACCGGTCGGGAGCTTAGGGTTGGGGAAAACGCTAGCGAACGGTCGGTCGGCGGCGAATCGCGCCATACAGAGAGGGACGAACGCCACCTCTCAAGTGAAAACATGACCTATACTTAAGGAACTAATGACATTTGTAGTTGACGTGTCTAGAATCACTAACAATCAATCAACATGGTCAAATACTAAAAAACCATCCATAGAGTAATATGTGGCTTATTTGTTCAGCAATGTCTATTACGTTCAGAGATGACCTTCGAATTATTTATTAATTTATTTATTTAACACCAAATATAGTAAAAAATGAGTGACATACCATGGGGAGAAGTTAGTGTAATCGGCCGACAACTTAATCGCTTTTACATTCACAATTCGTACTATACAACTATACTATATAAAATTGTAACTGAAAGAAAAAGTTATGACGGACAAATAATTTAGAGCTGTTATTATATAGTGGTAAAATTATTCATTTATATTTTTCACATTTTACTCTATCGTGTGTTTGTGCACGATGTCCAGATTTAGAAGGAAATTCACGTTGTAGTGTTTACTAGTCTAGAAAATCTGTTGTTTTTCATTACTTTTCTTCAAAACATCAGTCTGCCTGGAAACAAAAGTAGAGCCTGAATGACAATATATGAATGCTTCTCAGTCTGAATGGCCTAGTCCAATGCCCTATGAAACATCTATGAATCTTAATTCATTCGTATCTGTTTGTGTTACATATTACTGCCTTTGAAATTCACTGAACAGTTAAAACAATAAGACATGCAAAGAATACATATCTTTAGTTTTCAACCCGTCCATCATAGAAAACTGACGAAAATCTTATAAATATTTCTACGAAATATTGTGCTGCATTAAGTTTGTAGAAAGGACTAATCCTGTCAAATCTATTTTATAAAATAGAATTAAATGCTTTAAAATAATTATTTGATAAAATTCAATTTAGTTTTCATTAACAGTATTTTGTAAAACAAAAATTCAATGGCTGTTTAAAGTTTTGACATCAACAACACATATACTTGTATTTTCCAAATTTTCTAATCAGCACATGGACAAAAAGTTGTTAATTTTAGTATTTTTATTTCATATCGGAATAAAGAATCTCGTTGCCTATAAGTTTCTCTCCAAACTGAAACCAAGCTGTTATTCAGTTCCAATATTCTTTTGTTTCTAAATAAAAACATATGTAAACAAATGTAGGTTTCAAAACTCATCACCCATATTCATCCACCAGCTTTGAATGCTTTCCCGCAAGCTGCCACTCCCACAATGGACACTCAATTTCCCCAAGAAGGATCGAATATTCAGCCTTTAGCCCGTAATGCAAACTAACGCAAGAGCCGCATAACGATCACTATTAAAGCCGTAATGGATCTCTAAATGCGATCTGCTGTCGCTGCCGTCGAGTCGAAGTTCCCCACCATCGCAGGTCTCGTTGCACCCGCTCTCTGTCAACTGGGTCAGTGCAATGTCCTAATACCTACAGAGTATCACTGCAATAAAAATAAACAAATAATTCTAGAACAACACTTTCACTATAAATGACTATGAATATATTGAATTATATTTTTCAGCTGCGTCAACAAATGTACATACATTTAGAAACGTAGATCGAGAGGTTTTCGGTTTGATATCCAGAGCGAATTCCGCTAAATAGCTGTGTCAAAGCAATCAATTAAATGATATTGGTTTATTTTGCGTTATCTAACGGCTCCACTGCTGTAGTCATCAGTTCCGTAAGGATAGTGCATGTTATATTGAGAGGTGACGGTATTCATCCATCTCCGGAACGTGAGCTCCGGCGCCAACCTACACATTGTTTTATTGACGTTTCGTGGCGCGCCAAATGTGGTCATTAGTGCTGAAGGTTTGGATATGTTATTTCCAGAGGGGTGGCGGGAGATACGGCGCCGACTCATCCGTCAGCTTGCGGGATTTCCCTCTCTAAAAAAACCGCCTTCGTCCCCAGCCGAGGCACCGCCGCGCAGCAGCCGGGACAAGCTCTGGGCACCCACTCATCTTCTGACATCTGTTTTAGTGCAGTACATGTGAGTGTGTCAAAGGGAAGAGGTTCGGACAAAGTAGAAGAAAGCAATATCGCCGACGTCTGAATCCCGTACGAAAGAGTACTGCTCCGACGTCCACTTGGTATTGATAACAGAAATGATGGAAAGCGACCGATTAGAGTAGGCGGTCACGAGCATTATCCTGATATTCGATTAACTCAATCTTGCTCTTTAGCTAGTGCCAAACAATGCGCCGCAATCCCGACTCAAACCCTAGTACCTTCCAGTCTGACAAATTTTGTGTCATATTTCGTGAAAGTTACAGTGTAATAGAATGAAATGTTAATGAATCCGAGCATATTCCATCAAACGCAAAAATATTACTTGAAATTTTTACATTTTCTGTATTATTTGATATATTTCCGTTTACCCATTTCCATTATTTGTGACGGATGAAACACGATCCATAATATGAAATTGTGTATTATTGAATCTTTGATCCATTCTTCCGCTTACTAATATTGAAAAAATATCAATTAAAACATGCATTTCATTTCATAGATTTTTTAATTCACTTACATACAAGTATCATTAAAAAATTGGCGAGAGCGAGTCTATAATAATTTTATCAAATACTTTCTAGAAATTATATATACGCCTGGTTCTAAACCACAAATGCTGGCAAATTTACAGTCACAGAAATTAAACAGTTCTCGTATTGGCAACAGAAAAAGTTGCCTCTGCAACCCGTAATTAGCTCTTCGTCTTAACTGTGACTGTAACCAACTACGACTGTGGCAAACCAATATCTATTATATATTTGATGTATGGTCAATCGGGAAGAAATCAATTTTGGGGCTTGTTTGAGAGTATTTTACACCAATTGACAAAAATCCACAGGCTGTAGTTTCATATCTGGGAGCAATGTCTCCAACTACTTCCAGATATAAGCTTGTAACCAAATGAAAGTTTGTTCTCCTGTCCATATTGTTGAAAAAACAAACTTAGGATCATGCACCAAAGATACGGTTCATTACATTTGGTCACTTTTGTACGTATTACAACCCTACAATACGTTTTTATAACGACATTTTATTGGTATTTCCTGAGTTTTGATTACTTACCGAAATACTGACTTCACACTCTGTACCTATAAATTACTATCTTGATTCCTTTAAAGATCAACACAAGTTTAAAGAAAGACTCAGAAACATTTACTTCTTGAAAACTGATTGCTTTTGTAAATAATTAGAAATAATTAATTGCTGCATCTTTCTCACTGCACATTAACGGCTGTGCGATAGAGGAGGGCTCTAATATTCGTTACCGTTCTTCGGGCGGGACGAAGACATTGCATTGCTTGGAGATTGGAAAGGAAAGGACTACCGGTAAGCGCGGTGAGAATGGGGAGGGGGAGAGAGAGAGGGGTTGGAGGGAAGGAGAGAGGATATTGCACTTCAGAATATTCTTTTTTTCACCGTAATAAAAAGTTTAAAAGGGTGCACAAGTTCATGAATAGGTGAATTACATAAGAAGTTATGAGACGAATCAAATCGCCACTCCAGTGATATGAAATAGACTAAAAAATATTCTTCAGCAGCCTTCGATAATCATAGATTCCATGAATTCAAGCCGTTTGAGATTTAAGCTCGCTTATTAGTCCAATCACCCCAAGCTACCCACTCAGAACCACTCTTTAATCATTCACGCCCCTGATGTTTTTCGCCAGCTGATCAATTGTCTCGTCATAAGCGACTTCTCATTGGATCTTCCAGCTCCAACTACAGCCAACGGTCCCTCAAATCTGGATCGCACAGAGCCCTAATCTTGGTGACATTGAATCAATGCGATGAATACGTATACAATATTGATGGTAATGATATGAAACCAACCGCAAGCATGAGAGACAAGGGAGATTCCAGTAACACAGTAAAAACATGCCGAGAACCCATTTTGTTCACCACAAATTCTGCATCAATTACCCGAGATTCGAGACGTGATCCCAGAAAGGGACGACGAACAGTCTACCCAACTCTGCCGCAGGTTTAACCCAGCCACCTCAGCCTCCGTCGTCCC